CATCACCACCATGCACCCCAGCACTTTATCTTCCCAAACTGAAACTCTGTATCCGTTATTCCTCCACTTCCCCAACCCCTTGCAACCACCCTTCTATTTCTTGTCTCTATACTCTTGACCATTCTAAGGACTTCAAAAGAGTGGAAATAGAATATATGTCTTTTTATTGCTGGCTTTCTCACTTAGCATAATGTCTCCAAGGTTCATCCATGTTGTAGCATGTAAGAGATTTCCTTCCTTTTTAAGACTGAAAAATATTGCATTGTATGATTGTGCAGCATTTTGTTTACCCAAATCATCTGTCAAGGCACACTTGAGTTGCTTTTACCCTTTGGTTATTGTGAATAGTATACTATGAATGTAGGCATACAAATATTTATTTAAGTCCCTTCTTTAACTTTTGAGTATGTATCTAGAAGCGAAATTGTTATTGGATCACCTGATAATTCTATGTTTAATTTTGTTGAGGAGATACCACACCGTTTTCCACACCAGGCCTGCACCATTTTACGTTCCCACCAGTAATGTACAAGCGTTCTAATTTCTAATTTCTCCACAACCTCACCAACACTTGTTATTTTCTTTTTTTTTTTGATAACCAGTCATCCTAATAGGTATGAAGTAGTATCTCATTGTGCTTTTGATTTTCATTTCCCTAATGATCAACTATATTGATCATTATAATCTTTTCATTTGTTTATTGGCCATTGTGTATCTTCCTTGAAGCACTGGCCACTTTTAACAAACACATACTTATCCTAGGCACAGTGTTAACATCTCTAGGTTAAACAGTGAACAAAATTAGATGCAGTTAGTATCCCCAAAGAATTTATCATATTACATATTTATATTGTGAGTACTTTATTTTGTGGATGCCACTTTTTTTTTTTTAAGTTTTATTTATTTAGGTAATCTCTATACCTCACATGGGGCTCTAACTCAAAACCCAGAGATCAAGAGTCACATGTTCGGGGCACCTAGGTGGCTCAGTCGGTTAAGCGTCCACCTTCAACTCAGGTCATAATCTCACAGTTCGTGGGTTCAAGTCCCGTGTCGGGCTCTTTGCTGACAGCTAGTTCAGAGCTTGGAGCCTGCTTCTGATTCTGTATCTCCCTCTCTCTCTGACCCTCCTGTGCTCATGCTGCTTCTCTCTCTCAGAAATAAATAAAACCTTAAAAAAAAAAAAAAAGTCACATGTTCTTCTGACAGAGCCAGCCCGTGGTTGCCATCAGTACATGACAATAAAAGCGGTAATAGGCAAAAAAGAATTTTTCTGTTACTGAATCCACAATAATTTGCTTAGGAATCCACTGAATGCAGATTTTAATGACACTGCTAACCATATTTTCCAGCTAATAACTTAAGAGGTAACATGACTTAACTGCTTAAGAATCTGTCTTTGGGGGGGCACCTGGGTGGCTTAGTCAGTTAAGCATCCCACTTCGGCTCAGGTCATGATCTCAAGGTTGTTGACTTCAAGCCCGCATCAGGCCCTGTACTGACAACTCAGAGCCCAGAGCTTTCTTCAGATACTGTGTCTCCTCTCTGTGCTTGCACTCTGTCTCTCTAAAAAAAATTAAAAAAAAAAAAATTAAAATGTTTTTGGGAGGCCAGCCTAACTACTCTCTGTTAGTGCTATGTCTCCCTTTAGACTGGAGCTATAGCCCCAGTAAAGCCTTGCCTGTGGCTTTAGGGGTGAAAAAAAAAGGAACCCACCATGGAGTCAGACTGCCAGGTTTGAATCCTTGAGTTGCTTCTTCATTTGCTTGAAATCTGAGGCAAGTTATAATACCTGTCTGTGCCTCAGTTTTCAAACCCATAATGTGGAGATAACAATTGTGAAGGTTAAATGTTAATGCATGTAAAGCCATGCATGTAGCAAGTGCACAACACATGTAAGCACTTTTTTATTATTACTCTAAAAAATTGTATGTTTATTTTTATTTTTGAGAGAGAGAGAGAGAGAGAGAGCCAGTAAGAAAGACACTGTGAATGGGGGAGAGGCAGAGAGAGAGGGAGACGCGGAATCTGAAGCAGGTTCCAGGCTCTAAGCTGTCAGCAATGAGCCCGATGTGGGGCTCGAACTCACAGACTGTGAGGTCATGACCCGCGCACAGTCAAGACGTTTAACCAACTGAGCCACGGAGGTGCTCCAGTAACTTTTTATCATTAACACAGATCTACCCAGTTATCAAGTGATATTCCCATTAAAATTAGAATTTTCAGCAGTGCTTCAGTGGCAGAGTTTTATAAAAATTCAAGGTCTAATTATTCTGAAACAGCAAACAATACCTTGAAGTTAGTGATACCATCTGGTGCAACCTACTTACATGAACAGGCATTTTCCACACTAGACTTAATAAAATCAAAACAGGGAATGATGTAGCCACATCTGCAGCTGTCAAACTGTTATTAAACGCAATGTTGGGGATTTAGTTTCAGCAAAACAATAGTTATGTCACATTAGATCACTAGTTCTCAGAGGCAATTTTGCCCCATTTGGTAAATGTTTGGAGATATTTTTTATTGCCACAACTCAAGGGGTACTACTGGCATCTAGTGGGTGGAGGCCATGGATACTGCTCTATAAACACCCTATAATGCACAGGCAGGACACAACCCCTAACAAAGAATTATCCAGCCTGAAATGTCAATAGTGCCCCTGTTGAGAAACCATGTGTTAGATTAATGTTATTTTGAATGTATGCATTTGGTATTTTGTTTACTTTGGTTTTATAGTTTTTTAAGAGCAATAAATTGAGCTTACACTCAAATAACTTTGAGCTCATACTTAGGTTAATGTGTATGTCTATACAGTATTACAATAAAATGATTTTTGTCAACATTAGGCATTCATGACAATTTTTCCCTTTATTCAAATGTGAAAAACACCGCAGAAAGTATGCAATATTTTATGTTTTTAAGTCTTTTCTTTCACAAATATCTGAACACCTACCAAGTGGCAGAAACTGTGCTGGCTACATCAATGAAAAAAACCATCCACTATAGTCTTTGCCGCTATAGGCAACCTATGTGGGAGAAGGACTATACACAGGTAACAACAATAAATAATATAAACTGTGATAAGTCCTATAAGGGAAATCAACAAGTTGTTGTGATGGAGAATAATGGCATAAAGGGAGGATACTTAAAGAGATGGTCAGAGAACATTTTTCTGGATGATTTTGAAGCTGACACCTTAAGAATGAAAATATTCACTTGAGATTTTTTTTTATAAAAAAGAAAGGAAGGCAGCTATCCTTCCTTGTTATATATACTCTTGTTATATTTTTACTTCAGTCAAGCACTCACAAATACTTCCTAGGCATTTTCCTCCTATATGTCTGCCATTAGTTTTACAGGGGAAAATAAATAACAAGAGGGATCTGATTTATAGGTTTTATAGAAGAATGTAACTTTTCTGCTCCTCTGCAGCCTATATTGCCAATTCTTATAGGAATAGGCATGACTTTTTAAAAAAGTTTTTATTTAAATTCCAGTTAACATAAGTCTAATACTAGTTTCAGGTGTACAATATAACGACGCCCAGTGCTCATCACAGCAAGCGCACTCTTTAATTCCCACCACCTATTTAGATCATCTCCCCACTTCTCTTCCCTCTGGTAACTATCACTTGTTTCTCCATAGTTAAGAGTCTGTTACTTGGTTTGGAAGAGGCATGACTGTGATCTGACAGACTTAGTTTCAAATCCTGCCATTACCAGGACTAGCCCCCACAAAGTTCTCTGAGCTTCAGTTTGCTCTTTTGTAAACTAGGGCTAACAATACCTACGTTACTAAGTTATTGAGAGGATTGGATAATATAAGCAGAAATTGAAAAGAGTGGTTCAGATACTGGAGCCAAGCAGGCCTGAGTTTCAAGACCAAGCTCGCTAATTTCTAGCTACCAGATACAGGGAGTTAATCTGTGAAGTGGAGATAGGTGATTGTGCAGATTAATTGAGACAATGCATATAGTAACAAGCCCTTCCTCCTTATATATTTCTGGTTACATGAAAAACCCCCTTCCAAATTCTCCCAGTGCACAAATTTCCAGAGAAAGGAGTAACGAGGGAAACACACTCTCATTTTTCAGTCAACAAAAGTGGCTGACATCTTACTGTATTAGGGGCTACGTATTTGGACGAGTTTTCAAAACTCACTTTAAAGCACTGCACTGCAAGCGTGAAAATGGGTGAAACTCGCCTTTACATCCAGTTCCCCAGCAACCCGCGCTCAGACACCTCAACCTTAGGCCTGGTCACAACCTCGCGCTTGGTCCGCGAAGGCGGGGCCCTCCGGGATTGGCCTTCGATTCGCTAGCCTGTGACCAGCCCTCTCCTGGTGCGGTATCGCGCGCAGATATCCGCACTTCCCCGGTTACCAGTCCAGAGACACGCCCCCCGGTCGCCTCAGCCTCTGCAAGTCCCGCCCCCCGCCTTCGCAGACTCCTCCCCCGGGCTCCGGCTTGAGTACGCCTATTCTGCGCTCGCGAGTTCCCGCGCTCTGGTTCCGGCGGTACCTGGAGGCCACTCCGCTTGTTCCACGTGAAAATGGACCCTGGGTACCCGCTCAGAGCCAAGAGTAGTTCGTGGATCATTCCCACGGCGGACCTCGAGTTCCTATATCCGTTGCCCCCTCCTCCAGGGCCCCTCCAGAGGACCACGGGGGCGGATGCTGCGTTCTCGACAAGCGCACAAGCCCCTGGGACAGGCGGTTCGTCCTGAATCCCAAGTGGCAGGACAACTGCTGCGGGAAGAGTGGACGAGAAAGGGTACGGGATAGGCGCGCCGCGTCCTGGAAGTGTGCTGCGCTCTGCTGGGCCCACTCTCTCGCTCCTGCCCGGGCTCTGCTGGAGGAGTCGCCGTAGTTGCCCTTGCGCATGCGTCCTCAGAGCACCCGAGGCGCCCCGCTCGGACTTCCGGTTTGAGAGCTGGACCGGGAGACTGCAGAGCCGGGGCTGGGCCGGACCCTAAGAGGGTGAGGCAGGCCCCCGGGGCAGAAATGCGAGTGGGTTGAGGGTCAGCCTCGAGAGGGAGACTAACCCATGGGTAGCCGGAGGGTGCTCTCAGGGCTCCTCGGCGTGGTCGGAGGCCTCTGGAGGGACTGCACGACTGCTAGGAGAGTGACCTGGCCGGAGAGAGAGCGAAGACAAAGAGGCCGGAATCCCGCACCCGCCACACTTTGGGCTGAGCCCTGCTCCTGCGAACCTCGCATCACTCCGAGCCCCTGGCCAGCCACCGAACTCGTCCTCAGGAGACCCATTACTACTGCGCCCTCGGACTCCCTCTCTCCACCAACTCTGTGTGACTCCCCACGCCCACCGGCCCTTCAGGAACCAAAACCAATCCTCCCAATGCGCGAGGTTTCCCGTCAGTAATTCCCGAATAGTTGCTGAGCGGTTACCTCTGCTGTGAGGGAAAACAAAGACTCAGTATTCAGTACTTGATTTTTCTCCCGGGTGGGAACTGGTAGTTGTGGAGTCTGAGGGGGCGGGGAGGATGTAAAGGGCCTCTGGAAGGACTTTTTGGAGGTACTAGGGGAGATCAGGTGCGACCCACTGGACAGAGGCTTTTTGTTGCCATAAGCAGGATGGTGACTTGGCTTTAGATCCTCTCAAACTCCAGGTCTCCCATATGGTTCAAACTCAGTATGCATCATTAGTCAGGGGGAGCTGAATGGGGTCAGATTTGGGGGGATGTGGAAGAAGAGCAGTCAGTACTTTATTCTCTGCTGCCTCCACGGGCTGCAGTTGAAGTCACCCAGAAATGCAGCTTTTGAAATGTGTCTCTTCTTCATACTCAGTTTTGGCTTGCTGTCCTGAAGTTGGTGTTACCTCAGATGACCACGTGGAGTATATGGGAAGGCAGGCCAGTTCTTGGCGAAACTTTAGACATATTAAGTGTATTTCTTCTGATAGTGCCATCTCTCTCTACCCTAGGAAGAAACTCTTCTTACAGTGAGAGACTCATCTGCAGGTGATTCTCCAAGGACATGGGAAAATAGGTGTAAGCCCTTCAACCCTTAAGTGGAGGGGAGCTGCTTTCTGCTGTGAATGATGGCCAAACCCACTCTGAGAGGGAATGGCCCTAACTCTGAGACCTTCCGACAGCGCTTCAGGAGATTTCACTACCAGGAGGTAGCTGGGCCCCGGGAGGCTTTCAGCCAACTCTGGGAACTTTGCTGTCGTTGGCTAAGGCCGGAGGTGCGCACCAAGGAGCAGATTGTAGAATTGTTGGTGCTAGAGCAGTTCCTGACCATCTTACCTGGGGAGATCCAGAATTGGGTACAGGAGCAATGTCCAGAAAGTGGAGAGGAGGCAGTGGCTCTGGTGGAAGATTTAGAAAGAGAGCCTGGAAGACCTGGAAGTTCGGTGAGAAGGGAGGGGGAATTCAGAAGTGTGTGACTGGGAAGGGGCAAGGATAAAGGGCCAAATTAAGGTATCGGCAGGTTTAAAAAGGGGCACAATCTCCTTTGGTGATGCTTATTCTTCTGGTTCTGGAATAGATAACTTTTTCAGATGGAGCTTGTCTGGAGATGCTACCCTGTCACAATGAGTTATTCATAGTTTTACAGTTTTTTATTTACAAGGGAAGCAAGGGGAATTATTCTTTAGCTTATAGTTGGGTTTACTAATATGATCTTTTCCTTCTGGAGTTCCAGCTCCTCTAAACTAATGAAATAAAAGACCCTTGTTGACTGTTAAACCCCCACCTCTTCCCTCCAACCCTAGCCATGTCCCAAGAGGATAAACTCTTTTGGGGTATTAAATGATCTCCTCTGGGAATGCCCCTCATTATAACCTTGCAGTGACAATTAATGGGGGTTGTTTCTAGGTCACAGTCTCTGTGAAGGGGCAGGAAGTGCGCTTGGAGAAGATGACACCCCTGAAATCATCACGAGAGTTAATAAGTGTTCGGCAGGAGTCAGTGGAACCCCAGCCCAGGGGTGTAACCAAGAAAGAGAGGGCAAGAAGCCCAGACCTGAGACCACAGGAGCAGATGAACCCAAAGGAGAAGCTCAGACCTTTTCAAAGGAGCGGTGAGGAGTAGATTCATATGGGAAGATAGGATGCCATTCTCAACTGGGAAGTAGGGTTGGGAATAGTGAGTGGGAAAGGGATTTTAGGAATTGAGTTGAAATTGTAGAGTATGCAGTTGTTGGAGACCTCCTGAAGGTATGTAGTTTAGCCCTCTGTTGGAGTATTCTCGTGTTTCCTCTTGACAAGTCTGCCAGAGGATAGCTCCCCGCTTTTTTCCAGAATTGGAACTATTTTATTTCCTCTTGGCAATGATGATACTAGGTCAGTATTTTCTAGATAAAAATTCTTTTCTATACTTGAAGTTGAAGGCACAGCCTCCTTTCAATCATTTTCCTTCTCCAAATTAAACTATTTTATTTCTTTAAGCTCTTCCCCAGAAGTTCCATTCTTTGGACCTACTAAGTTTTTGTTATCCTCCCTTGGAACCTTTAAGTCTTCCAAATATCATGTTAATTGTGGAAAACTAAATTATATTTTTCCAGGGAGGGGTCTAGCAGGTACAGGCAGAGTAGAAATTTTACTACATTCTCTTTCAGTAGAGCTTAACTGATTATTTGGTGATTGTTTACTTGGTAACTCCCAGCACTCTTACAGCTTTCCCATTGTCTTTGTGGCTAGTACTTGATTTGTAGAACTTGTTTTTCTTCTTTGTACTTGGTTGAACTCCGTTTTTTGTTTTTTTTTTTTAAATCATTTAACTTGTTGAGGTTGTTTTAAATTCTGATCTTATCATTCAAGATGCTAGCCTTCTCAGCAGTTTGTAGTGGTCTGTTTAGTAATCCAAAAGCAATTCCACATAGAGAGTTACAGAATTGATCAGTCACTGAACACCTACCATGTATTCCAGTGCCTTGCAACGTGCTGTGCAATAAGCAAAGGTTCCATATTCTCAAAGAATTTATGGTGTGATTAAAAGCAAATATGTGCTCAACTGAACTGTATTGAAACCATGCCAAACAATGACTTGTTAGTCAAGTTGTGTGAGTATAGTAGGGGTTTGGCAGAGTGGGCAATTAGGGAGGGCAGTGGGGAAGACTCATGGGGGGCTTTGGCAAATACAGTTTCTCTTAGAATGGATTCCATTTGGATAGGAGGGACTTAAAGGAAAGGCACAAAGTAATGAATAAATGTACGCTGTATTCTTGAGGGGAGTCTGATATGAATGGACAGTGCATGGTAGGCACTCAGGTTAAGGTTGGACAGTATAGTGTTTGAACTGAGGAAGAAGAACCTGGAGTCAGGCAGGACTCCTGCAGTTATCTGGGTTTGAGAGGATAAGGAGTCTAGACTTGGATGGTGGCAGGAGGAACAGAGGACATACTAAAGTGAAAAGCTTTTAGAACTTGGTGACAATTTGAAGGAAATGGATGAGTTGGAAGTTCCCCCCCTGCTCTTCTCTCTCTTGAAATCACTCTTGAGTTTAATTTTCTAGCCCCAAGTGGAGAACTTATAGGAGACTTAAGTTTAATTTTCTAGTTTAATTTTCTAGCCCCAAGTGGAGACTTATAGGTGGCTGTTCCCAGCAGTGCCAAGACCTGCCTATAAGTAGTGAGGAAGGCTAGGGAGCAACGTGGAACAGAAGTATTTACTCTGAACACACATACAGAACCTTTTCCTCTCTTGTCACCCTGCACTGGAACATATTCTCATTTTTTGAGGTTTTATGTACTTTCTCCAACCCACTGAACTTTCTGAAAATACTTTCTTAGACACTTTCTTTATAAGCCTCTTGGATTAAAAAAAAAAAAAAAAGGCAGATCTGAACTCAGAGGTGTTTTTATGATCAATCCAAATTATGATATCCTTTGTTTGCTTCCCTGCAAGCAGGATTTCCATTTCCTAAATCCGGTGTGGTCTCCAGGTTGGAGCAAGGAGAGCCAGTGTTCCCTGATCTGGGCTCCAAGGAGAAGGAACTCCCAAGAGGCAGTCACACAGGAGATAGACAGATACATGCTGATCTGTTATCATCCAAGAGAGAGAGAAGAACTTGGGTGGAACAGGATCACTGGGGCTTTGAAGATGAGAAGGTAGCAGGTGTGCACTGGGGCTATGAAGAAACCAGAACTCTGCTTGCAATTCTCAGTCAGACTGAGTTTTATGAGGCTCTCCGAAACTGTCATCGAAACAGCCAAGTGTATGGAGCTGTGGCTGAGCGGCTCCGGGAGTATGGCTTTCTTCGGACCCTGGAACAGTGTCGGACCAAATTCAAAGGTCTTCAGAAGAGTTATAGGAAAGTCAAGAGTGGTCACCCACCTGAGACCTGCCCCTTCTTTGAAGAGATGGAAGCCCTGATGAGTGCCCAGGTCATTGCCTTGCCCAGTAATGGCTTGGAAGAGGCAGCCTGTCACTCTGGCCTGGTGGACAGCGATGCTGAGACTGAGGAGCCAGGGCAAGGGGGCTGGCAGCATGAGGGAGCAGAAGAGGCCATGGCTGAAGAGTCTGACAGTGATGAAATGGGGCAGGACGCCACCCCTCAAGACCCCGACAATTCAACTGCACCTGTTCTTTTTCGAAGCCCAAGTGGTAAGAAGTTTTCCTTTTGCAGTTTCTGTGATTAGATCTGAGGAGTTATGAGACTGAATGTGCAGTCAGCAAGTTTAATATCACCTGTGAGTTTTGTCACTTAAACGGAACAAAGAGATACTTTCTCAGTTCTATCTGTATTTCATTCTCTTTTGTGGGAAAATTAGATAATAGTAAGTAGGGAATAATCTTAGATATTGTAAAGAAGTATACTCAGAAAATTCTAGAGAGCTCTTAAAAGAATATCATTCCTGGGGCCCCTGGCTGGCGCAGTCAGTGGAGCATGCGACTCTTGATCTCGGGGTCATGAGTTCAAGCCTCACATTGGGCATGGAGCCTACTTAAAAAAATATATATATATTATTCCTTCCATTTCTTTATTAAGTAATTTTTTCCCCTGACTATAAAATCATTTACTGCTGAGAAAAACCCAGCACTATATTAGCTTTAAGGAAAATATTCATTGAGTACCTTATACAAACTGGTGCTTTATCTTTGATTTTCCCAGTTCTCAACATCAGCTTCTTATGTGTACCTTTCTATATAGCCTAGCCTAGTGAAGGACTGTGCAAAGTTGGGGAAATGTTTCCTAAGACTCCTCTATGAGATTTGCAATACACATAGTAAGAAATCTTATTTAACACTTTGTTGAAATATTATTTGCCTATGGAACTGTTTTTAAGTATTATTTATTACTGTTGATATAATTTATATAACTATGTTGATACGGAAAAAGCACCAAAATATGAGCCAGAGGGCCTTGTTTATTATCTTGACCACTCATCACCTAAGCGACCTTAGATAGTTATCTGCCATTTCAGAGTTTATTTCCTCACATGTAAAATGGGGCATGGCAGCAGGACTACATCTCTAAAATTGCAGTTTCACTGTGAAGTGATCTTTTCCTTTCATTTTTTACTACATGTGTGTTGTTACGTTAATTCTGCTCTGTCTTCCAGTCTTCCACTTTTTCCTTCTTCAGTATCTATTCTCTCATTTTTTTTGTCACTGGAATAAGTGCAGGTAAACCACAGACATGGCACATGTGCTAGATGCTGTTATTTTCATTATCTTTTTTCTTTTCATCTTTTTCTACTACTTTTCTTTCAATTATTTCCCCCTCTCCTTTACCTCCAGTAAGTGGAGAATAATGGAAGCAGTGTCCTCTCCAGTTGGTTGGCCAGTGGAAGGAAGACTCTGAATCTCCTTTCCCTCTACCATGGGGACCTTCAAGGAGCAGAGTCTGTAATCATATTGAAGTAATGCGGAAGTGGGGCCTATAGCACTAACACATGTTCAGGATAGGAGATGCTGTTTGTGCTGCTTCCTCTTCTTTCTGGCTTCCATCAGTCCTTCACTCCTAAGGATAAGGTGCATGACTATTAGGTCTTCTCCTGTACCCTTCAAGTCTTTGCTATTACTGGGCTTGCTTTTTGAGACTGTGGCAAATGAAGATGGGTTAAAATAGGGATTAGGCAAGTGTGATTCTGAAAGAGACTGTTCTTTGGGGTCTTGGGTCATTCTTTGGAAAACTTAATTCATAATGAAGTAGAGCTGGTGGAAAAAGATGATCTGAGAAGTTAGGGATAGATAACTCATGACAGTGATTGACTGGGTCTTATTCCTTTGACCACTTACTTTCTAGTTAGGATCAGAATTCCAGAGAAACTACTAGAAGAATGGGGAAAGGCATCCTGTATTCTTGACTTAGTGTATGTAATGACTGCTTCAGTGATCTGGTGGAAAGGTTTGTTTAAGAGAGAGGGTGCAAGTGAGCAGGGGGTTCGGGGGGTAGAGAATGAATATTCCACGCTGACAGCGCAGAGGCTGAAGTAGAGCTCAAGCTCACAAACCCTAAGATCATGACCTGAGCAGTTGGGTGCTTAACTGACTGAGCTACCCATGCACCGCCCCCGCCTCCTTTTTTTTAATGGCTAAACAGAATGTAGGAATAAAGATCCCTGTGAAATTGCTAGGATATAGGATATTAGGATATAGAGAAGCAAAACATTCTATAATGAGTTTGTATGGATTTTGGAAACATGATGTATTTTTACTTTTTCACCCAGAAGCCCAAGCCTAGGTGATTTTTCATCAGGTACTTGATAGGGCTGAGGAATTGAGGCTATAAAGCCCTGCATTAAATGGTGCTGAAATTTCTCTTCTGGTGACAGGTGTACACTGGGGCTATGAAGAGACGAAGACTTACCTTGCAATTCTTAGTGAGACTCAGTTCTATGAAGCCCTCCAGAACTGTCACCGCAATAGCCAGTTATATGGAGCAGTGGCTGAGCGGTTATGGGAATATGGATTCCTTAGGACACCAGAGCAGTGTCGGACCAAGTTTAAAAGCTTACAAACCAGCTATCGGAAAGTCAAGAATGGCCAAGCACCAGAGACCTGTCCATTCTTTGAAGAAATGGATGCTTTGGTGAGTGCTAGGGTTGTTGCCCCATCCATTGATGGCCAGGAAGAGGAGACAGCCTCTTGCCCCATCCAGGAGACCAATGAGACTGAAGCTGAGAAGCAAGCTGAGGTGGCAGAAGAGAACATAGAAGAAGATTCTGAGGATGATGAAGAGGATACTGAGGTACCCTTAGAGGTTGTCATGACCCGTGCTCCTGTCTTATTCCAGAGTCCCAGTGGTAAGGTTTTACCTTTTACTTCTTTTTTTTTTTTTTTTTAAATTTTTAATGCTTTTTATTTATTTCTAGGAGAGAGAGAGACAGCGTGAGCAGAGGAGGGTCAGAGAGAGAGGGAGTCACAGACTGAAACAGGCTCCAGGCTCTGAGCTGGCAGTCAGCAAAGAGCCCGACGCGGGGCTCGAACCCACGAACCGCGAGATCATGACCTGAGCGAAAGTCGGACGCTTAACCGACTAAGCCACCCGGGCGCCCCAACCTTTTACTTCTTAAGGTTTAAATAGCAAAGGGGAGGCAGTGGGATTTAGAAGAAAAATCCACTACCTGAAAACCAGGAGATTGGCCTCTATACCCAGCTCTCTGGATTCTTCTTATGACCACTTTATCTCTTCTCCAGGTTTCCTTTCTATAAAAGCAGCTCAGAGCAGATATAAATGATTCACCTGACTTGCCTTCTCATACTATACAGCATAAATCTGATGGCTGCAGACTTTATAAATTTGCTGTCATCTACATGAGCTGTTAGGCATTTTACTTAGCAGGGAATATGAAAGCTAACATCTCCCAAATAGCATGCTATATACTCACAGTGGGATGAAGTTGATTTTAAAAGTTCATGCTTGTTAATGCTTTTTCCTCTAGTTCTAGTTTGTATTACTAGTTGTATATCTGCTTTATTCACATGTATGAAAACCTGATAACCTCTTTCTTCAGACACAGCTGGGCAAAAGTCTGAAGTTTCTGAGGGAATTGACCCTGTGAGTCTTAGCCGCTGTGTAAGAAAAACAAACTTTTCACTATGTCTTCCCTCCTTGTGAGAAAAAAATTTCTGATTTTGGAGTCAGACATGTATGTGAATCTGGACTCTCTTGTCCATTAGACAGCTGAGTGACTCTGAGCAAGTTATTTAACCCTGTAAGTTTGCTTATATATTAAGACCTACCTTAATAAGGTTGATATAAATGAGGTACTATGGTGAAGCACCTAACACAGTGCTTAGGCACATAGTATTTAATAAGTAATAATTTCCTTTTCCAAAAGTTCTTTAGATCTACATTCCTCAAGGGTGTGCTATGGAGTATCAATTCCATGAGGGTATTCGTATGTTCCACTAAAAAATGCCTTCTATGTTTAGAAAATTCTCAGTTACCCTCCCTGGAGCCTCACAGCACACACTCACATATTTAAGGTTTTGAGATTCAGTTGAATCTAACAAATCTCTATTCCATGGGGCATCTCTTAAGACTGAGTTCCTGGGGAGAAATACTATCTTTCAGGGATACATAAGCAGGCTGACACTCAGTATTTCTTTGCTCTCAAATTTAGCTCAGAGTATTTGGGATCCAGAATTTATCTGAAACATCTGAAAATTCTGCAAATTCAAAGTCCATTCACAAACTGAAAATCTGCAAGTACCTGCAAATTCACATAGGCTGGGCCTGGGCAGCCTGATGTTTGGTTCTTAGAAGACTATCACAGGAATTCCTGGGTGGCTCAGTTGGTTGAGCATCCAACTTCAGCTCAGGTCATGATCTCATGGCTCGTGAGTTCTAGTCCCATGTTGGACTCTGCTGACAGCTGAGAACCTGGAGCTTGCTTTGGATTCTGTGTCTTCTTCTCTCTCTGCCCCTCCCCCTTGCCCGTGTTCTTTCTCTCTTTCTCAAAAATAAACATTAAAAAGTATTAAAAGGTTAGCTTGGATATTAGAGTAGTGCTTTTGGAACATTTCGTCATTATTTTTCCATGGGAAAAGAGAATGTTTTAGGGAGATACTTTATACAAAATTCCTCTCTCTGAAAGCCTCCTGTTCTTTGAAAGACCCCAAGTATTTTCCTACTCTTTTTATTCTCAACATAAACTGGAATTTGAGGAGAGGAGGACTCATTTAGCTCTTTTTGGATACAGAAATTTCTCAGAGTTTTCCTGGGTATTTATGGACATATCTTAAATCTGGCAAGTTTTCCTTGTTATACTGAGAGGATTTTATGAAGATTGTAGGTATCCAGGGAAGAGTTAAAAGAATATATCAGTCCCTATAACAGATCAGAAGCATGTGACAGGTTACTAACTAGAGGAGTAAAAAATTGGAATTTTGATTGATAGAAGTCATTTGGGATCTAGTCCTTCCTAATTTTTACCTCTAATCATCTAATGTGATACTTGCCTAACCCTGGGTACATAATATTGAGGAAATGGATAACTTTTAAAATTCTATTCTTGTATCAGGTTTTGAGGCTGGATTTGATAACGAAGAGAATCTAAAACGAGATATTTCTGAGGAAGTACAACTACATAGGACATTACTTGCAAGGTCTGAGAGAAAAGCTCCCTGGCATCTTAATCAGGGTAAAGGCAGTGACAGTGGACAACAGTGGGAAAAGACCACAGGGGAGAGAAAAGGAAAATCAACACTCCCGGAGAGGAGTTTAGGTAAAGTTCTAAATCATCAGAGACCTTACTTGGGAGAGAGACCCTATAAATATCTCAGATACGGCAAAAGCTTTGGTCCGAACTCCCACCTCATGCATCAGATATCCCATCAAGTGGAAAATCCATATAAATGTGCTGACTGTGGGAAAAGTTTCAGTAGGAGTGCACGCCTCATTAGACACCGGAGAATCCACACTGGAGAGAAACCTTATAAGTGTCTTGACTGTGGGAAAAGTTTCCGTGACAGTTCAAATTTCATCACCCATAGGAGAATCCACACAGGAGAGAAACCGTATCAATGTGGTGAGTGTGGAAAACGCTTCAATCAGAGCTCAAGCCTTATAATTCACCAGAGAACCCACACAGGAGAAAAGCCCTATCAATGTGAAGAATGTGGAAAAAGCTTCAACAACAGTTCTCATTTCAGCGCACATCGGAGGATACACACAGGAGAGAGACCCCATGTGTGTCCTGACTGTGGAAAGAGTTTCAGTAAGAGTTCTGACTTACGTGCACATCATAGAACCCACACAGGAGAGAAGCCCTATGGGTGTCATGATTGTGGCAAGTGCTTTAGTAAAAGCTCTGCTCTTAATAAACACCGAGAAATCCATACACGAGAAAAACTTCTGTCACAGTCAGCACCTAAGTAAGCCCCTGAGAATTTAAAGAAAAGAAATATATCAAAATGGTTGGAAAAAGTCTTCCAATAGTGAGATCTATCCTATGCCCAACTAGCTTAGAAGACACTCTAGGATTTACCCCACCCTCTGTTTCTTATGTTTCTCCTTGATCTACGAATTCCTAAGGCAGTCATCTTAAGAATCAGAGGATGATTTCAATCCCTCTCCTTGCCCTTTTTGAAATGACAGATAATACCTTTTCCTCTCAGTGCCTATGTTGTTCCCTTAATAGAGAGGACTAGATAGTAGATCCTATAGTCTTGTTATATACCGTTATTTATTCATCCTGTTATTTAGCTGCATTTCAACTGGAAAAACCTATCACAGCAGCATTTCAGGGAGAAGTTGTGAGACATTTCTAATTGAGTGGGTCTAGCTCTCTATACAGTAAAGGAAATGCAAATAAGAATGGCTCTTCGTGTTCATGTAAGCCTGTGCTCAGAATGACATTTGTCATGCACATTTCATTTACCATACAGGAGAGTTTAATGTCCACCTTACTCTGACCTATTAAAGAACTTGTCAAAAGCCTAAGTGTTCTATATGGGGAAACAGTGTAAACTTTGTATAAATATTGAGGTGTGAATCCTGAATTTCTAGTTTCTTCCAAGTCGTAGAAGTTCTGGAATGGAATAATATTTAGAGCATCTAGTTTGATCTCTTTTTCTTCTGTTCCATCTCATCTGAATTTCATCTTTCTCTTCTAGTCCAAAAGTTCAAAGAGCAAGCCAGTTGGATATGTTGAGAGAGAAAGCAGTTAAAGCTGCCTTTAGGGAATTGGCTATGTTCCACACACTCCAGACACCTAGTTTAGTGTTATGTACCCCATGGGCACTTAATGCTAACCTGCACTGAGCAGAGGCCACTACCACATTCCCATGGATTAGGAAACAGACCACTTTGTGCCAACAACTCTCTACCCTAATGGCAGGGAGGACAGATTATCTTTCGTCATTGGAGTTGCCAATACTTACATGCACGTGCACATATTCAACTGTACACATCTATTTTTAAAACTTCTTCAAACATAAGTAATTCTGATTTGTATAGCTAAATAGTATTGAATTAATTGCTCATATATTCATAGTAGTATGATGAGCCCTGTACAGCACAAGGTAAACAGACCCTGTCCTTGTCCTTACAGTCTAAAACAGATGACACTGACATGGACAAACAGTAAGTACACACGTAGAGCTGAAACAATTTTAGAGAAATCTGGTAACATTATGCATTATAGTTTTCTATAAGAAATATTAAGGTTATATTAAGGTCTAATGCATTATAGTTTTCTATAAGAAAAATCTGGGAGGTATTTTCTTTATTCAGGAAGGCTTCATGAAACAGCAAGTGTTTAAAGGAAGGAGGGTTACTAGGTAAATTAGGGTGGGATTAACTTTCCAAAATAAATCACAAAACTGAGTGCTGAGTGGGTGAGAAATGGGAAAATTGGGGAACAAGGTGTTAAAAGCAGATGGAGGCAAGGGCAAAGGACAGACTGTAGGGAAAGTCGGACAAAGCTTGGAGCAGTACAAAATTTGAGGCATAGTATGACAGGGGCTATGCAGGAGGCTTAACTGAAACACAGGAGCTCCAGAGGCAGACCAGGAGGTGTTCCCTATAGTAAATCAAGTACCGTGCTGTACTTCTTGATCAAATAGCTGGCTGGCACTGGGGAACAAGAATGAGCAGCTTTAGGGGACTATCTCCTACGGGAGACAAAGCTCAGAAACTACTATCTTGAGAAGATACTTCAGTGGGCAGGTCTGAGGAAAGGAATGTGAGCAGATGGTCAAGGCCTGATATACGTAGCTGTTTCATACTCCTATTTAATTAGACTCCCATGGCTGGAATGAGATAAAGGAGAGAAGTGGGGAGATAGAGCATTCTATAATTTAGCTTGCTGTGTTAGATGAGAGATAGATTAGGGTTCTGGTGTTGAGGGACCCTACTACAAAGAATCTCCTAACATTTGTTAGGAGGAGATGGTATCTTAATTATGTGGCCTAAGCAGACAGGAAGATAGAAGAAACAACAGTCTAAAGCAGTGCCTCAGGATCTGAGATGGTTAATAAGTGTGCTAGAATGTTTTTTAAAATGAAAGATTACTATCTTTAGTATATTTATGTGTAGTTGTGTATAAAAACCATTGGTTGAGGTATCAGCAGATATGAACTCTGGTTCCAGATGTCTCATGTGTATGTCAGCCTGTTTGTATCCATCTCCCTTTCTGTAAAGCAGAATAACGTTTACACCTTAATCTGCCTCTCAGGGATACCATGTTAATAAAAATTGTGTCTGTAAAGTACCCAGTGTTTCTTTATGGTGTTTTTCTTTCCCCAGAATATACATGTGCAAATTATGAAGTTGTTGCTGTGAGGAAAGGATACATTTTTAACTGCCTTTTTTTTAGCTCCCTCTGTGGGCTTACTAGAAGTATGCCTGTTTGAGTCTTTATGTTCTAGACTGAGAAACAAATTAGGAGGTGGTAAAAGAAATTAGAATGAAAATCATTCCTTAGTATCTGTATCTCTATCTTTCGGGACAGCCCATTAGGGCCTGTCATAACTGGGCATGGAGAGTAAGTCTTATTTTAAAAGACCCAGGACCAGCCCTCCAACCTACAGATGAAGAGAATGTAAAAAGGAATAGGGCAAAGGCAAACTCTCTTACTGGGAAATGCCTATTTAATCTCAAACTAGCTTACAAACCATTTTCTGGTTACCCAGTCTGCCAATCCTGAGGCAAGAAGCAAGAAATAATAGTCTTTACACATTCTAAGAGAGAAACCAAGGTAGGTGAAGCAAGAGGATCTGTGCACCCTACCCTGCCCTTTTAATACTCCTAAGAAGACCTTTGTGGAGACAGAGGGAATGGCATGTGTACAAAGGAAGCAAGAATTTATTAGCAGGAACTAAATAGTCCTATCCTCATCAGTGGTTTCCCTAGTGCCATTCTTTTTCTTCATTTTCCCCACACTATAATTCTTTTTATTTTTTAAAATAAATTTTACCCTCAACATGGGACTCAAACTCAATAACCCAAGGTCAAGAGTTCTATGCTCTACCAACTGAGCCAGCCAGGTGGTCCTCCTCTTTTATTGCTTTCTATAGCCAATGCCACAGAACTTAATAACATGTTTTTACTGTGTTGTTGCCATTTCTTTTTACTATAATCAGAGTATGAAGGCCAAGTTTTATCAAATCTGTAGAGAACTATTTTTATAATGACTAGTTAGGAAAGGGAAGATAAGAGGGGCACTTGGCTGGTTCAGTCACTAGAGCATGTGACTCTTGATCTCAAGGTTGTGAGTTTAAGCCTCTTGTTGGGTGTAGAGATTACTTAAACTCTTAAAAAAAAAAAAAAAAAAAGCGGGGGTGGGGTGCCTGAGTGTCTCAGTCGGCTGGGTATCTGCTTTGGCTCAGGTCCTGATCTCATGGTTTTTGAGTTTGAGCCCCACATTGGGCTCTCTCCTGTCAGTGCAGAGCCCACTTTGGATTCTCTCTCTCACTCTGCTCCTCTCCCACTCATGCCCTCCCTCTCTCAAAAATAAACATAAAAAAAATTTTTTTAAAGGAAAGGGAAGATGAGATATAAGCACTCAATTTTTCCATTATTCAATTAAAAATCTAAAAAAACTACTCCTATATACTCAAATAACTATCCAGGGAGATGCATATCTCAAAGTTTTCACATATAAGATGATGCATATTCTCTAATATGGTGCTTAAATAGTAACATGTTATAAGGAATATTTTAGTTAGGAGCTTAAATTTCTCCTACATGTACAATGGGACTCTTTCAGAAACAAAACTTGGGAACAAGTGGAAGTCAGATCGAGGCTGGAAATAGAAAATGGAAGCCCAAACTACCTTAGAGTTCAAGAAGTATCTGGCTGGCATAGCTCCATTATGGTCAAAATAAGAGAAGAGTAAGGCAGGAACATTTTAAAGAACTACCACCTTGATTCCAGGGGGATTAATCATGACAAGGGCAAAGCCAGATCTTAGAAGCTAGCTTTATCTGTCACTAGGGTCATCCAAAGTTGATTAACCCTGACTACTGGATATTCACAAAAATCCATGGTATGCAGTATAGCCTGGTGTTTCAGGGAATGCTTAAATGAAGGGAGTCTGATTAAAACAAGCACAACAAAATATAGAGAGCTGTTGCCACAAGCTACAAAGCTTAAAGGTTTTAGTGGCAATCTGTTTCCCTTCTCTTCATCTTATTTAGACTAGTAACTCCAAATTCTTCCTGATGAGAAACTTCTTCAATTTTCCTGAAGTTTTATGATCACTAATGGAGAGGAACTGGTGGAATGGGGAGTTTCGTTAGCAGCCGCTTTCAAGTCCCTTCCAGTAAGCAGCTTAGAGGTAAGCTCTGTAAGACCTCAGAGTCTGCAGTCAGTTTAAGACATGTTTACTGCACACCAACCATTAATACGGTGCTGGTGATGGAGCCCATGGTACCTGGCTGCTGTGCTTCAAAGGGAGCAGTGGACGGTTTACTAAGTGGGATATGGCAGGAAGATCCTCATTGCAGTGCAGTCAAAAGTAGTTTATCTCACTGCAGCTTAAAAGTGTAACACTTTGGGTTTCAGATGATTCCACTTCCTCTTCAGTTCAGACCTGGTGCTGTCAGAAGCAAAGATGTAGTTGATGGATTCATAAGATAGATCCCACACCTGATACTGGGTCAGATTAAATGTTTCAGCAGCCAGCTGGTACTCTTGAGAAAGGTGTGTTGCAAAAATACCCTTATCATCAGTCTGCCAAAACAAAACAAAACAAAACAAAACAAAACAAAACCAAGAAGTTTAAAAATGAACAAGGAAATAATTTTTTAAAAATTTTAAAAATAATTTAAAAAAAATTTTACAAATTTACATTCTATTTTCCTAATATTTACCATGCTTCTTTTAAGAGTCTAAACAGGCCTATAAATGCGTCCATGTGTATCTATAACTTAATAGGCTTATTTGTCCTTTTTAAAACAAGAACTATAAACACCAGAGCAGTGGCTCTCAACCAGGGCTGCATATTAAAAATCACCTAGGAAGCTTTTAAGATGTATCTGTGCACAGGACTCACCCCAGATCAAATAAAATAGAATCTCAAGGTATGGTATTGGGCATCAGTATATTTTTTAATGTTACCCTGGGTACTATCCAGGACCTTTTCCCAGAGAGCCAAACCTAAATCCCCCTGGCCGTCTGCAGCCCCTCCTGCCCTGATCCCCTCTTCTACTTGGGCAGCACTGTCAGGCATGCAAGGCAGTCAGCCAGGGATGAATGTGTGACCTAATGCACCTCTGAAACTAAAAAGGAGTGAAATACTTCAAACAAAATAACCTTACACAGATCACAGAAGGATGGGCAATGCTGTACCAGAATCCGAAATGATGCTGGTCATAAGACGGAACCGTCTGACTTTTGATGTTTGAGGTCAAACAGAGTTCTAGATGAAAGGAGGAAAAAGTCTCTTATTAAAAGCAGATTAGTAGACTCACTCATCAGCATTCACCAAGTAGACACATGAGAAATCTTTCCAAAGTATGCTAATTTTCAGTAGTTCATGACTTTACAAAATTGACCTTATATGTGAAAATTTGTAGTTCAAATAGTGTAGTTGTGTGGGATGTATGTGTAGCAAATAGGGCAGCAACTGTACCAGGCAGGGAACTCCTATCCCCTCCACATCCATGTTCTTCCCTCTTTCTTTTACCAAAATGGAGAGGAAAGAGGAATGTTAAAAGGCAGTCACCTTGGAGAAAGCAGGGAAGCATGATGAAGAAATTGTGTTTTTTTTTTAAAAGCTTATTTCTTTATTTTGAGAGAGAGTACAATCAGAGGATGGGTAGAGAGAGAGGGACAAAGAAAGAGAATCCCAAGAAGGGTCCATGCTGTCAGCACAGAGCCAGATGCAGGCCTCAAACTCACAAACTATGAGCTCATGACCTGAGCTGAAATCTAGAGTCAGACACTTAACTGACTGAGCCATCCAGGCACCCCTGATGAAGGAATCTTTGAAGGGTTGCTGCACTTCTTCCTGGTCTTATAGAGGCTAAGACAAAATGGTAGCACTACTTGAGGGCTATAGCATTAAAAAAGCCAAGAGCAGAAATGGATTTCAAGAAAATCCCTAAACTCCTGTACTCAGACAACCATCTATTCACTGTCTGCTGCAAGTGAATCCATCTTAAGAATGACATCTAGGGGCGCCTGGGTGGCTCAGTTGGTTGAGTGCTGACTTTGGCTCAGGTCATGATCTCAGTCTGTGGGTTTGAGCCCAGAACTGGGCTCTGTGCTGTTAGCTCAGAGCCTGGAGCCTGCTTCAGATTCTGTGTCTCCCTATCTCTCTGTACCCCTACTCGTGCAATCTCTCAAAAATAAATAAACGTTATTAAAAAAAAAAAAAGAATGACTGCTATTATTAACAAATTCCTGCCTTGACACACTGTACCCAGCTACCCCAGCCAGAGCAGAAATACTTCACTGACTTGACTGACGGTGTCAGCTCACTAGGGTAAGGCAGCCTCCCATTCAGTCCAAGGGATAGCCACTTGCTCCCTAACTCTTCTGGGCACAGAACTGGGCCACCACACTAACTAAGATCACTATGCAAATGATTTCCATTTTCTCTACTTTTACGGATGTTTAAAAGTGTCCTTATGGGGCACGTGGGTGGCTCAGTTGTTTAAGCATCTAACTTCAGCTCATGTCATGATCTCACAGTTTATGGGTTTGAACCCTGCTCTGGGCTCTGTGTTGACAGCTGGAAGCCTGGAGCCTGTTTTGGATTCTTGCCTCCCTCTCTTTCTGCCCCTCTCCTGTTCACACTCTGTCTGTCTCTCTCTCAAAATAAATAAACATAAAAAAAATTTTTTTAATGTCCTTAGTAAAAACAAAATCCTATTATTAATTGCTAAGAAACTCTAAAATATACACCCACATGAGTGTTTTTGCCAACTGATCAATGTGTAAATTTAGCAAATTGACCAGTTAGTAAAATGGTTTTCAGCCAACCGCTTTTTTCCCTCTAGAGAAAGGCCTTCCCTAACCATCCAACTGAAAGTGGTTATTTCATCACTATTATATCAAAATGTTTAATTTTCTTCAAAGAACTTAACACTGACATTTTCGTGTGTACCTGTTTACTGCCTCTTTTACCTATGCCAGAATATAAGTTCCTTGAGAAATAAATCTTGCCTGTTTTGTTTACTGTTCTATTCCCGGCAATTTGAACAGTGACTGGAACAGAGTAGGCACTTCATAACTACTTGTCGTTAAATAAAAGCAGCTCCAGGACACACAGGTAGACAAACAAGTATGTAATAGTCAACACACTTATAAAACTAGGAATTGGAATCATCCATAATTCTTAATTTTTAAATAAATGTCACATATTTTCATGACACATGTTAATTTAGTAAAGTCATTGAAAAATTCTAGATGACCCTTATTCCTTCAATATAATATTGAGTTTCAGGAACTGGGGAATGGAGCAGTGAACAAAACAAAGGCCCTGCTTTCATGGAGCTTATATTCTAATGGAAGGTAAAACTTTCTGTTACTTAAATGAGGCTCGGGACACACATGCACCATGTAACTTTTTATTTCTAAATGACACTAATATATTTAGAACAGTGCTCCTCTACATTTGGGTTGCACGCAACCTGGTGGCTGGGGACAAAGGCACAGAATACTGTCTGGAGGACCTAAAGTCCCAAGCCTTACCCAGTGGTATTTGGTGTTGCCTCACAAAGTCTACCAATTCCAGGGATCCTCCCTCAGAGGAGTTGAGAAATGTCCCATGCCCAATTCTGTCAGGAAGCAGATCCAGAAGTACTTGTGTTTCTTCTTTTTGGTTTGGAATCTCAAAAAAGAAGGAAAAAACAGGAAGAGAGAACATCAATAACCTTTTTCAGTGGTTCTCAAAAGTACTTTTTTTTTTTAACGTTTATTTTTATTTTTGAGAGAGAGAGCGAGTGCGAGCAGAGGAGAGGAGAGAGAGAGAGAGGGAGACACAGAATCTGAAGCAGGCTCCAGGCTCCATGCTGTCAACACAGAGCCCGACACAGGACTTGAATCCATAAACCGTGAGATCATGACCTGAGCTGAAGTTGGACACTTAACCAACTGAGCCACCCAGGCGCCCCATAAAGTACCTTTTTTCTACAGCCAGCTACTCTGTCCCTCAAAGAAGATAATGCTGACATTCTGGAAAGCTGAACTACTTACACCTTCCCAGCTCTCTTCTTTGCCTTTATCTTTCCATTCATTTCCCAATATTCTTCTAGTTTCATTTCAATGACAATAGGAGTTAACAACAATATTAATAACAACAAACAAAGACCCGCCCTGTGCCCTTTCACATAAATTCTCCTTTAAACCTCACAAGAATCTTACCAAGTATTAAGACAAAGAAATTAAAGTTCAGAGAAAGTAACAGGATCAACTTGGAAGGAGAACTGAATCGGGAAAGGGACCTTCCATCTTTTATTTTTTTCCTTTTACATTACACTTTTCTATACTTGGATTTTCTTCAGATACACCTAACTTTTGCAGTTAAAACATAAAGCTTTTTTGTTGTTGTTGTTAAGGTCATGGGGCTCTATCTGACTCCAGGGCTCTGACGCACATGTTTTATTTTGACAAAGCTAGACATTCCCCAACTACCATGAAAAAGTCTAGCTATGCTTTTTAACTGCTGGTTAGCCTAAAATACAAATGACTGTAACATGGTGAAATGTTTTATTTTTTTATTAAAAAAATTTTTTTTTGAAATGAAATGTTTTATATCAAATGGATGAAACAAGAAAAGCAACAGAGACTGAGGTAAAGAGAAGGTTCTGATGCAGTTGCACAAAACCAGAGATAACTAGTCACAGTAAAACATGCTGGCTGTTCCAATATATTGACCTATAGCTTCAAATCAGACATCACTTAGTCAGCTAGAGGCTATCCTTTGAGTGAGAGAGGTTTTTGATCAGACTGTGGAAACACAGATCCTGGATGTTAAGTTCTGCCACTATATTACTGACTCCTTATAGAAATGAAAAACATCAGTACTGACAAGAAACTCTAATTTCTCCCTTAATCTTCAAATCATGATGCTAGTCAACCTTTATATATTACTGCATCTAATACAATAAACCTGTGACGTAAGTAGCTTCAGTATTATTTCTTGCACTCAAGACAATAAACCCCAAACTCATCAAGTTGTATACATTAATCATGTACAGCTTTTTGTATGCAGAAAGAAAGAAAGAAAGAAAGAAAGAGAAATGAGAAAGGGAAGGAAGGAAGGAAGGGAGGGAGGACGGAAAGGAAAGAAAGGGAAGGAAGAAAGAAAAGGTAAGAAAAGGAAGGAAGAAAGAAAATAAATGGGTAGAAGTACTGAGGTACAAAGTAAATCCATCTGTAAAATGGGGGAAAGTGTAGTGGACTCGCCTTTGCCTCACAGGACGTGCTTATGAAAGTGACTGTTCTGCCATTAACTGTCATTGTGCTATGCTGCCAAGGAGCTGAGGCCCAATGAAGGGCACCTGATCTTCTGATAAGCCTTATAAAATAATGATGAGCTACTTCCTTCCTTGCTAATACATGTGATACATTCCAGTCCCTTATCCTACGAGCACAACTGAGATGAATTGGTGGTGCTTTTCTCAGTGTCAGCTGGCCAATGACACACCGATAATGAAAATTTGTGCATTTTCTCTAGTAAGATGTCATTAAGCTGCTTTAATGACACAGCTGTAGTGCAAGTCAACAGCCACCCCCAGGAACCACAAAGACATAGAAACAGTAACATGAGGAACTAAAGCAAGTCATGCCTTTATCATTATAATTTATATTCTAAAACATTTCTACATTTCTCCTCTAAAAAATCTTTTTCCAAGGCAGGTTTACTTTTAGCCATTTACAAATGGTTATTATTTTCATTGTAATCTACCTTCTCAGCCTAATTTTACAATATTATTTACCTCTGAAAGATGCAACGCCAACTTCAGACCTGCTTTTTTAGCTTCTAAAAGAGGTTCCAAGAAGTCTTTTGCTTGTCCTACCTTGAAGATAAAAGTTAAAATGAAGATGCATTAGCATTCTAGGCAAATCAAAGAATTGGGTACTCTGTCTCAATAAACAAAAGAATAAAATAATGGCAAGAAAAAAATGGCAGATTGATTCATTTGAAAATTTCATTTATAAAGCACCTACAATGTGCTAGACACCTTAGGGAATACAAAGCTGGCAAAGACACAATCCCTGCCCTCAAAAATGTTACATCTCATGAACCTGAGATCAGTCAGCCAACCTAGATATAGAGGTCACTATATTTTATTTCTGAAGGGAAATCTAGATATCCAGCACTAAGGAGGAGAACTCACCGATTCAGGAACCTGGATGATTAGAGCAAAGAAGCATCTACCAAATAGATGAATGAAACAAGAGCAGAATAATCCAGGTTTAGACAAAGCCATAAGAAACAATTTCCTGGGACTCCCTACAATTCAATGGTTTTTAAATACGGGCAATTCTGCCCCCACAGGGGACATCTGGCAATATTTAGGAACATTTTTAGTTATCATAACTAGGAAGGTGCTTCTGGTATCTAGTGGATAGAGAGGCCAGGGATACTACTAAACACTTTGCATTTCACAAACATCCTCCCAAGACAAAGAATTATTTGGGCCAGAATGTCAATAGTGTCATAGGTTAGACACTGTGCTTGAATCTGACATTCAAGAAGCTGTAGGCCAGCCTTTTTCAACTAGGGGTTCTGTGAGATAATTGAGCCCTAGCCATAATTAAGTACTTGTTTCATAATTGTTAATTAAGTATTAGACATGCATTGTATATAATAAATTAGCTTCTCTCCTAGGTATATAGAAAGATACTGGGTAGCATCTTTAGAAGGATGGAAAAAAATAATCACATTGTCATGCAAATCATTTTCTTTTTTCTTTTTAGAGGGCTTAATTCTTTCCCTCACTGAGAACAGTTGCTACAGACATTCTGGTCATCCAGGGCAGAACAGGTCTTCATCCACACCAAGAGTCTGCTGGACCTCTGGAGAATGCAGGATGCTCTGAGCTAATCCTTACCCCACAAACTGATTCTACCTTCCAGAGATAATATGTATTTAGGAAAAGTAGCTTACAGTCGGGTCTCCACTGAGGTCAAGGCCAAGAACTGTATCCTCAGTTGACAGAAAGAACTCTTCAGCAAGTTTAACAGTCTCCTTGGCTACTGAAGGGCCACCTCTTCTGTCGATTGCTATCAAATACCTTTAATATAAGAAAAACACAGCTGAAAACAAATATGGTGCAGATGAAAAAGACAACTCTGAGTATAGTCAGGGAGGTATGGCAGGCTCATGTAAAATTTACTTATTAGGAAAGGTATAGCCTGACTGATAGGACAGCTTACTTTGCCAGATGGCAAAAGACATAAATTCCCAAATAGCACCAAACATCTAGTTACTGTTCAAATTTCTAAATGTCTCATGGTTTTTGTGCATGTATTTGTTTTTTGAGTTTTTTTGATTCAGAATTCAACAAAAGTCCAAGCATTGTGTTGGTCAATGTATCCCAAGTCTCTTTTAATCTAGAGGCACTCCCTTCACACCTCACCTTACCCCTTTTCCACACCCCCATATCACCTTTTTTGAATTTATTTGTTGAAGAAACCAGGTGCTTTGTCCTATAAGGCTTCCCACAATATATATTTTACTGAATGAATTCCTATGTTGCTAACCTGTTCTTCTGTCTCTTATATTTCCCATAAATTGAAAATTAAATCCAGTCTACAGACTTGATCGGATTCAATTTTTTGGCCAGGGTATTTCATAGGTAGTGGTGTGTTCTTTAATCAGGAGGCCTAGATCCACTATTTCATTAAGTGTTACAAAAATGGTAATATTCTAACATATATTCAATAGCTGATAGAAATTCATTCTTCGTAGGTTAGCTGGAATTCTATAAGGAATCTAACACCCAAAGAACCCGCTAATATTGCAGAATTTTCCTCCAGCATTTATTAATTTATCAATTTTTTAACACAAATACAAAAAGAAATTCCTCCAGCATTTATTCATTTAGAAAATTTGGATCAACTATATATAAAAGGCAGCCCTTTTTTTTTTTTTTACTGTAATGATTTCTTCTACCATTAAATGTTAGAAAACAACATCAATCATATGAACATAACAAAATATAACTGTCCTGATTGCTGAATGTTTAAGGAAGTTTCCCACTTTTTGTTATAAATAACACTACAATAAAGAATCTTACATATAAATAAATTTATTTCCTTAGGAAAACATTTCTCTAAGAGGGGTACTGGTCCGGAGGGAAAGATTTTTATACATCCTAATACACACTGCTTTGTAAAGAAGTTTTATTTCTTACTTAGGCTCACTAGCAGTACGTTCACAAACACTGGTTATTACCCCTTTTTGGGGGGGCCTACTGAAATGGCATTGTAATATTTCTTTTTTTTTTTAATGTTTTATTTATTTCTGAGAGAGAGAGAGAGGCAGCGTGAGCAGAGGAGGGTCAAAGAGAGAGGGAGACACAGAACCCGAAGCAGGCTTCAGGTTCTGAGCTAGCTGTCAGCACAGAGCCTGATGCGGGCCCGAACCCACGAACTGCAAGACCATGACTCGAGCTGAAGTCGGACGCCCAACCGACTGAGCCACCCATGTGCCCCGGCACTGTAGTATTGCTTTTTAAAATGGTGTGATTAGTGAGATTAAATAGTTCCCTATACATTTACTGGTCATTTCTAAGTCTTCTTTTCTGAATTCTCTTGTCTTTTATCTGCTTTTTTTGGAGGGAGGGATGGTATTAGTCTAGTTAAGCTTAATTTGGAGAGATTTTGTAGCCAGAAACTATACAGGTAGCTTTCTTCCTTCAAGGACTTATTGAGCCCTGATTATGTGTCACCTCTGTTGTAAGTATTGGAGGCATAGTGGTGAATCAAAAGAAAAGGTTCCTAGCCTCATGAATTTACACTCTAGTGGGTATGTATGTACAAATAAAACAAGATAGTGCTTGCTTCAGCAGTACATATACAAATAAAACAAGAGAATTTCTTTTTTTTTTTTTTTTAATATTTTTATTTATTTCTAGGATAGAGAGAGACAGCGTGAACAGGGGAGGGTCAGAGAGAGGGAGATACAGACTCTGAAACAGGCTCCAGGCTCTGAGCTGGCAGTCAGCACAGATCCCGACGCGGGGCTCGAACCCACAAACCGCAAGATCATGACCTAAGCGAAAGTCGGACGCTTAACCGACTAAGCCACCCAGGCGCCCCAACAAGAGAATCTCTGATCCTGTTAAGAAGAATGCCATAAAGGAAATAAATGGGTCTACTAGAGGATTTGGGGGGCACTTCAGATGGTCAAGGAAGGCCCCTCTGAGCAAGTGAGAGCCAAACTGAGAAGTGAATAATGAAAAGCCAGCCATGCAAGGTTATGGTGGAAGTGTGTTCTAATACAAAGGTGTTGAGGTGGGACAGTCCTGGCCTATTTGAGGATAGAGAGCAAACCCATGTGTAGTAACAAATGGTCCAGATAAGGCTGTTGAAGTAAGAGAGGCAACCAGATCACATGAGACCTTGTCGGCCACAATAAGAAGTCTGGATTTTAGTGGAAGACGAATAGGAAGCCATACTTCTCTAGATAACAGTACTCAGAATTTTACTGCCACATGAATCAATTTAGAATTGCATTTTCAACTTCAAGCAGTAGAGTTCTTGACTCTGTTTTTTTCAAAGGTAAAATAAGTTACTGTTTGATTTATAAAAATCTATTACACTCATGGGGCTCCTGGGTGGCTTAGTCGGTTAAGCGTCCGGCTTTCGCTTAGGTCATGATCTCGCGGTTCGTGGGTTCGAGCCCCGCGTCGGGCTCTGTGCTGACTGCCAGCTCAGAGCCTGGAGCCTGTTTCAGAGTCTGTGACTCCCTCTCTCTCTGACCCTCCCCTGCTCACGCCGTCTCTCTCTCTCTCTCTCTCTCCTAGAAATAAATAAAACATTAAAACAAAACAAAACAAAAAAAAAAATCTATTACACTCATGATCAAAATGACAACTTCACATTCTAGTTTTTTAAAATGGTGACCACTAAGGCACAGTGCTGCTTACCTAACATCAATGTCTATGTTTTCTTGTTTGGACTGTTTTATACCCTCAAGTATAGATTCCACATAAGTCTTTTTAGTCATTCCTGGAAAGGACATAAAGAAAATATTTGTAAAGAGATCATCAACTATTTCATCCTTCAATATTAGCATCCCTCTAAGAACAAATACATTTTCACTTTTTGTTGTGACAAGGATATGATTAAAGTTGAGTTAAAACATGGCCCTGTGGGTACATTTTTATAAATTCTAATTGTGCTTTTAAAATTTTATTTATTTATTTTGAGAGAGACACAGAGCCTGAGTAGGGAAGGGGGAGAGAAAAGAAGAGAGAATCCCAAGCAGGCTCTGCACTGCCAGCGTGGAGCTTGATGTGGGGCTCAAACCCACAAACCATGAGATCATGACCTGAGCTAAAACCAGGAGTTAGACTCTCAATCAACTGAGACACCCAGGTGACCCTTAATAAAAAATTTTTAAATGAAGTACTAGAAAACTGAAATGAAAAAAAAAGACATACAAAATAAAGCCCATTTAAAACTTTTCTTAGAATAAAAATAAATTTTATAATAAAATTTAAAAATAATAAAAAAATAAAAATTTTCTTAGATTCAACAGACATAAAAATACTCTCACAGAGGCACCTAGCTGGCGTAGTGGGTAGAACATGAGACTCTTGATCTCAGGGTCATGAGTTCAAGTACCATGTTGGGTGTGGAGCTACTTAAAAAAACAAAATTAAACAGGGGCATCTGGGTGGCTCAGTTGGTTAAGCATCCAAATCTTGGTTTCAGCTCAGGTCATGATCTCACAGTTTAGTGGGTGTGAGTCTGGCATCAGGCTCAGTGCTGCCAATGTGTAATCTGTTTCGGATTCTTTCTCTCTCTCTGGACCTCCCCTACTTTCTCTTAAAAAAAAAAAAAGTTTAAAAAGTAAACAACTACTCCCACAAATTGCTATAAAAATTTGAAGCGCTATTCTAAAAAAACAAGACAAGAAGCCCTTTTTAAAGGCCTGTCCTTAAAATAACAAACACCATTTTTCTCTTTTAGCAGAATGTTTTCCTGTTGGTCCAGAAAAAAATCCCCTTTTGGGTTCTCTCCTCCTTAATCCTGGTCACCCTCCATATTTCCTGTCCAGGGCATGAGAGCAGTTCTTCCAATTCTGGGTACACAAGTCCTCCTCTTCTGAGGGGCTCTGAAAGAACACTTTCCAGAACAAGCTCCTCTAAAAGACTCTCATACCCCAATCATAAAATGCTTACTTTTGATGGAATATCTCTAATAATTTTTAAAGTTTATTTATTTTTGAGAGAGAGAAAGAGAGCAAGCAGGGGAGGGGCAGAGAAAGAGGGACAGAGAGAATCCCAAGCAGGCTCCAGGCTGTCAATTGAGAGCCCAACGTGGGGCTCGATGAGGGGCTCATTCTCAGGACCCTGAGATCATGACCTGAGTTGATAGCAAGAGTCAGACACCCAACTGACTGGGCCACACAGACACCCTGGAAAATCTCTAATAAAGCAGAGAAAATTATAAAGAAAAAAAATAAGAGTTAACCTGTAATCCCACCACTCAGAGATAACCACCACTCAGAGATAACCACTGTCTTTGTTTTTCTAAGTATACATATGTATTTTTTTAATAGATGAGATGCTACTAGGTATATATGTATCCTGTTCAGTCATTTAACACTTTATTCTGAGCTTATCCCCAAGTCTTTCAAGTATCTTTGCAAATATTTTTAATGGTTGCCTAATATTCCATTAACCCTTATTTACCCATTCCCTACTGTTGCATATAAAAGCAAACTAGCTCGAATAAGTGGCAGGTTTCTTCTTTCCTTTCCTGTCCACTATCCTCACCAGCATAACTTGGAATTGATCTTGCAATTTAAAAATGCAAGATAAGAATCTTCTGCTTGTCCCATTTCAACATTTACATTATGTAGTTTGAAAATTTTTACCCCCTGAATGACTGGGCTGCACATGTCAGGGCACAAGACGATCTGACAGGGCCTTTTCAGGTTACACACAGATTATTAAGAGGGACCCAATGACACTACATAATATCTGTCAGTGCTGTCCTTATGAAAAGAGGGTCCCAGGAAATTTCTCCGGACCACATTCAGATCCACTCATCTCCATTAAAAGAGATTTTACCACCTTGTTGCTGCTTTCTCCTGGCCTAAGACACTATCAGTTTCTGAGAGGTGACTGAAAAACCTTCATTTCTGTGACTATCATAAAACATGATTCTGCATCTACTCAGTGGCACTGTCTCAAGGGCCCTGATGCAAGGACTGAGAATTAGCCTCTCTTTAAAACACTGTAACTATAAGGAGCAAGTATCCTTTTCTCAGAGTGAGAAAAATAAATAAGAACAGACGAAATTTTTGTAGGCTTTCTTATTTTCGTTAAACAGACAATCCCTGACCTGATTTTTTTTAAAAAAACTTAATAACTCACTCATTAATAATGTACATCTTAAGATGTGGACCATTGACTCCTCAACAATGTAAAAGTAAGTGCACATATTCTCAAAGTTCAAAACAAATGAATCATCAAAGCACACAGAAAAAAAAAAGTTTATTTGCCAAGAAGTAATTAAATTCTACCTGTAGCATCTTCTCTTCTGGGTGTGCTCCTTAGTTCCAGGTACTTGACACCATCATCTGCAAATTCTTTAATGACATCTTTCGTGACCTGATAATTATGGCATTGGACACAATACTGATAATGTTAGTGTAAGGATCCCAATGAAAATGACAAATGCTACACCTTTATCTCCTTGCATTAAATTTGATTTGCAAAAAAATGTTGGAAGTCTCTCATGTGGTCAAGATGACCTGGTTTGTCATACCATGGCTGGTGACTATGACAGGACTATAACACTTCCAACAGCTCCCCTCATAGCACTCATTCTCACATTAAATCCAAATCTACACATCATGCACACCTTTTGGCTCTTTTCTCTTTTAAACATTTCTCCGTGTCCTAGTGTTCATAATAGCAGTTGATAAAACAGAGATTTTACAATAGTATTAGGTCATGATCTTGTGGTTCATGAGTTCGAGCCCTGTGTCGGACTCTGCATTGACAGCTCAGAGCCTGGAGCCACTTTTGGATTCTGTGTCTTCCTCTCTCTCTGCCCCTTCTCTGTTTTCACTCTGTCTCTTCTCTCCCTCTCTCAAAAATAAACATTAAAAAAAGAGAAAGAAGTGGCTAAATTAGGTATTACTGAGGCACCATTTAAAGGCTTAATGTTCTTATTCAGGTTATTTAGGAATATGTTGTATTTTTCAAGAATTTCTTCAGGCAGGGTTACATTTGCCCCAGAAGTACTAAGAAAAATTCCTCGTTGGCAAATAAAATGGGTGATAAATATGAATCAAATGGTATACAAGTTGGCACAAATTTCAACAATCCAAATATGGCTAAATGGCCAGGGTAAATGATATCAAAAGGATAAATGCATTTTTTCCTTCTCTGTCATCCATCCTAAAAATACCAAATCTAGAAGAAAAAATAACCAGGTTAGAAATGCTGTAACAACCAGCTCTAGTTAGACCTTGCAGCTGGTATCCTAATCTTAACCTGCTTTGACTACAAGCACATGGTCATGGAAGTGCAGTATCCTGGCAAAGGAACAAAGGTTGGCTGATTATGTAGAGAGTGCCTAACAAGGTGGCACTACTTTGGTAGATTCATTGTGATCCAAGGTCTGGGCTTCATCTAGCTTTGGGCATGTGTGTTAAAAGCCAAAAAGGAATTTATTGTAATAAATTTAACGAAGCTCAGATTCACCAGGAGGTCTGGAGAATCAGCCTCAAATGCATTAAGAATCATGTGACACTCCTAGATGAAGCAAGATACCACAGCTTCTTCCACCACTAAGCAAGACCCTGTAGTTTCTGTACCATCATCACAGGTACTGGACCCCATGGCAAGGCTGCCCCCAAAGCTCTATGTAGCTGCCAATGCCACTACCAGAGTGTGGGCCTCATCTATGCAGGCCAAGGAACTTGTATCTTGTTACTGGCTCCAGAACTTGAACAGACCCACAGAGGCCAACCAACTCTACCCCAGCTAACATGTGGCTAATGCAGAAGCCTATTTGTTAATGTATGCATTGACAATGAGGGTGGAAGTGAGGGTATGAAATGGCAGTCCTCACTGACTGATGAGACCACATCTACTATCCAAGTTTACTCTTTCTCGGTCTCTTGAGGTACCTGTGAAACTAAATAAAACAGAAGGCTGTTGACAAGCATGAAATGAGAGCAATGAAATGATTTATCTAGGCCACAGTGAGGCCTGTGGAATCATCCCTATTCATGTCCAATAACACTTCCCTGGAGTCCACATCTGGGTCTGCCAGATTCAGCCCTTTCTGCTCCATGCAACAAGTACTGAGGACAACTCTTATTCAGGCTCTTTCTTCAGATAGGACACATCACAATTAGTTAAGTTTCTGCTTACTCCAAGGATGGTAAGTCTGCATCTCTTGAATGAGAAAGAACATTGGCTCTGGGGGTGTCTGGGTGGCTCAGTCGGTTAAGCATTTGACTTCAGCTCAGGTCATGATCTCACAGTTTGTAAGTTCGAGTCCCACGTTGGGCTCTGTGCTGACAATGCAGAACCTGAAGTCCCCTTCAAGTTCTGTGTCTGCCTCTCTCTCTGCCGCTCCTCCACTCACACTCTTTCTCTCTCTCTCTCAAAAATAAATAAACATTTAAAAAATTAAAAGAAAAAAAGAACATGGCTCTGGAACCAGATAAAGATAGTTATTCCCTCCACTTATTCTGTGAATGACCTTACACAAGTTACTTAACCTATTTGAGCCTTGGGGTTTCTTTTCTTTTTTTTTTCACCTGCAAAAAGGAACAGTAAAAATACCTACCTCAGAAAGTAGTCTCAGACGTAGTGTCTGGCATATGCAATAGTTAATATTATTATTTCAATCATGTTCCAATCAGAACACTGACAGGATTTTGCTTCTCTCCATTTACAAAGAGTACATTTTAAAATGCCACCCTGGCCAGACAATGATACAGAAGCCAGTCTTCTATATCAGGCTCTAATATCACAGAGCTTCAGATAAGAGAACACAGTGGTGTCCTCTAGTCCTTCATCCCCAGAGGGAAGGTACACTTTTCCTAGGGATTAATCAGTTATTCAGTCTCTAAGTACTTCTTGAACTTCACTGCCTATACTGTCCACCTAGGCAGTTAAAAGTATCTCAAGCAATACAGATAAAGCCTTATCAAGGAAATGCTCGTGTATGGTCAAATATTTCATATGGTATGTTATATATGGAAAACAGGACAAGATCTTATCTTCCATTTTATCCTGTATGTAATAGAAAATGATGATCTGGGTTCTTTTATCTTTTACAATGAAGCAGTCTTTTGATATTATTGCTTGGCAAATGCCAGACATTGGTTTTGAAAAGAGTTGCCATAAAAAAGCAGAAAGCATATCTCATTTCATTCTTGATTAAAGTAAAAGGTCACGTATAACATCAGAAGAGCATAAATTACTTAATACTTTTTAAACCACTCTAAAAATTGCTTCATTTCTCACCATTAAAATATCTTCAGGGCTAGTAGTAAGCTGATGAATAATTTGAAACATCTGGAAACATCTGCAACATGAAAAGTTTTAACATACTCTAGTCATTAAAAACTTGTCACTCAAGACAGACCCATTAAGTTGAATTAATATATTTTAGGCTAATACTAATTACATATTTATAAAGAATTACAGACTAACTTTTTCAAAAATTACACTGATCTGGAAGGACAATCAAATGGCTGAAAATAAAACATTATTTTTAAGTGGGCAATATTAGCTTTTCTTCACCACACCTCCTACCCCCTGCTGATAACAGCAAACAGGGAGACAAATCAATAAACCTACATTTGTAAGTCTAAAGAATATTCCAGGGGCACCTGGGTGGCTCGGTCAGTTAAGCATCTGACCCTTGATTTCAGCTCAGGTCATGAATTCATGGTTCATCAGATTGAGCCCCCCATCAGGTTCTATGCTGACAGTGTAGAGTCTGCTACGGATTCTCTGTCTCTCGGTCTCTCCTCTCTCTCTCTGCTCCTCCCCTGCTCTCTCTCAAAATAAATAAACTTTAAAAAATAAAGAGAGAGAGAATATTTCAATATAGTACAACTTTACAAACAACCTAAATCACTAAAAATACTGTCAACAGACTGACAGCTGGAAACAAATGCTGTATGTCAAGTTATAGTCTCCATACCAAATAGCTACTCTATTTCTAAACTACAAAAATCTGGATTCTTACATACTATTTACAATTCAAAACAACACAAGAGAAAAAAAGAAGTATGTCCACAACTTCCCCAAACTCACTCTTCTAAAGTTCTTTTCTTTCCCTTGTCAATCACAGTCATCTGATCGTGGATTTTAAGACCTGGCTTCTTGGCTATCAGTTTCTTCATGGTATTAGAACTAATGGATCCATTCAAGTGGGCATGCAGTTCCTAAAACAAGAGAATACCATCAGTAAAAATTTCTCAAGTATCCACTAGATTCATAGCATCATACCAGGTACCTGATGTTTGTATTCTGTACCAGGTAAACGACCTACCAGGTATAGTACATAGCTTTACAGTTTACAAAGTTTAAAATTCTACCTATAAAATGTACTTTCTTTGTATGAAAACAACAATAACACAGATGTCCTTATAATTAGCAAACACTCCAGAATTCTGTGGCTGAATTCTTACCACTTTAGGTAATTCTGAATAAAAAGCTGTCTTCCATGGCTGTTGGTGTTCTTCTGCTTCCATCATGATGTAGTAGAGAAAAGGTCTTTCTCCAAATACTCTTGTTCTTATTATAAACAGTACAATGTACTTTAGTCAGTAAGTTGTGTGGTCTTGAATTTCCTTCAGATTGTTTTATGTCTGTACACTTTGATAAGATAAACTGTATATGTAGCTCTGGGCTCAGTTTCACCTGTGTAAACAAATGTGAATATTTTCAGGTGTTGACATAAAAGCAAAGAAACAGAATTTTGCCACTTTGTTCCTCAAAAGATGAAAACCCCAGGGGCACCTGAGTGGCCCAGTCAGTTAAGTCTCCAACTTCAGGATGCAACATGGCGGAGAAGTAGGGAGCTCCATACATTTCACTCACCCCCATCTCTCAAATGAGAAGGCCTGAAGCCATAGGAACCCTTACAGAATCCAGGAGTTTGGTAGGAAAAGGAGACAGTGTCCACTGAGAAAACCTTATACTGTGAGTGCGAACTGGTGAAGATAAAAACAGGCCGGGACGGAGACACAGAGGGAGGGGAGGGATCCCCCTTTGCGGGGAGCCTTGGTAAGTCAAAGGGAAAAGAAAGAGCGGCTGAAACTGCTCAAGAAATTATCCCTGTCCCTGGAGAGGAGAAAAACCTCGGCTCAGGACACAGTGATCCAGTTTCCAGCTGTCCAGCTGCCCTTGAACGGGACACATTGGTCCCAGATGACGCCAGGAGAAACCGCTCCTCTGCTCCTCAGCAAGACCTGGAGGGGAAGAGGCGCACCTGAAGCCGCTCTGCCAATCTTCTGGCTCCGCTTGATTCCCTGGGGGGAGGCGAGAGGCTTGAAACTATTCGGAGGGAATGGGCCTGTGGGCTTATATTTCCGGCGGTATCAATGGGGCTCTTGGACTAAGATCTGGAAATGAGGCATGGCTTGGGGCATAGAACATGGCCCACCTTGACTACACAATCGGCACAGGGAGATCAGACCGAAAAGAGTGAGTTGCAACTCTAGGTTCAAGAGGCAACTGGGGCGCTGCCATTTTTCTCCCCATAACCATCAAGGTGGGACCTCAGGGACCCACCTGCAGGACAAGACACAGTGGAGGCTAAGACCCGCCTACACGAAACCATGCGCATCCCTGCTAGAAAGCTGCTTTTTTTTTTTTTTTACTGGAGCCCAGGGGCAATACCAACATGGATGCACTGCCGTGATTAATTCGAGATCAGTTCTTTGTATTCAGATATATTTTCCCTTGTCTCATTCATAACCCTCCCCTCTGCTGGACTGGGCACTCTGGTCACTGGTTTGCTTAAACAGTCACATTTAATCCATTCTCTACATGTATATTCTACATGTCCACCACTACCTTTCTCTCTCTCTCTCTCTGGAGTCATCAGACTATATACTTTCTCTGAGTAACATTATCTTTGTTTCTTTCTCCTCGCCTCTTACCGTATTCTCCTCTTTCTCTCTCTGAGTCTCTCTGCCTGGTTACTATCCAATTTTGCTTCCTCCTCACCCTGTCATTTCTCTCTTTGTATCTGCTCTTCCATCAGCACTGCATACACCCGGCTCTTTATTTGTAGCTGGGAATTCTGGTTTTATGCCTTTAGACTGTCCTTTGTCTTTCTGGTTTTTTTCGTCTTTCTTTTCTTTTTTTCTTTTTCTTTTTATTGTCTGTTTTTCCTCCTACCTCTTTTTTCCCCTTCTTGTTTTTTTTCTTTTTCTTACTCCCTTTTAGTGTGCACATTTGTTGGATTTGTCTGTGTGTTTCTGTGCATTTGTTCCCTGTGTGTTTGTCTGTCTGTTTTCTTTTCCAGGGCAACCTCAAGAAACAAGCCAAAGTACACATGGTGGAGAGTCCCAAATACCACTGCAAGTAGGGAAATAAAATAACCAAAGTCTCAATAAAAGACCAAGAGACACCATTCAAAGAACACTTCCTGAATGGACAAGCTCTGGACGGTCACAGCAATACATGCAGGTCAGAGTGCATAACAAGCTTTTAAAACTAACAAGAGACAGAAAGCTAGCCAAAATGATGAAACAGAAGAACTCTCCTCTAAAAAAATTCCAGGAAGAAATGACAGCTAAAGAATTGCTCAAAACAGATATAAGCAACATAACCGAACAAGAATTTAGAACAATAGTAACAAAATTCATCACTGGGCTTGAAAAAGGCATGGAAGACAGAGAAACTATTGCTACAAAGACTATGGAACTTAAAAATAGTTGTGATGAATTAAAATGTTGCTATAAATGAGAAGCAAAATAAAATGGAGGCATCCAATGCACAGACTGAAGAGGCAGAGAGGAGAATAGGTGAATTAGAAGACACAATTATAGAAAAAGAGGAAGCTGAGAAAAAGAGAGATAAACTGATCCAGGAACCCAAAGAAGAGTTAGAGAGCTGACCAATACAGAGTGGTAACAGACCTATCTACTGAAACCTAGCAGGCCAGAATGGAATGGCAGGAAATCTTCAATGTGACGAACAGAAAAAGTATACAGCCAAGAGTCCTCTATCCAGCAAGCCTATCATTCAGAATAGAAGGAGAGATAAAAGTCTTTCCAAATAAACAAAAATTGAAAGAATTTGTCACCACTAAACCAGCCCTTCAAGAAATCCTGAGGGGGACTCTATGAGGGAAATGTTGCAAGGAACACAAGGTACCAGAGACACCACCACAAGCATGAATCCTACAAAGAACACAATGACTCAAAACCCATATTTCTCGAAGGAAATTGAAGAAGACACAAAGAAATGGAAAAACATTCCATGCTCATGGATAGGAAGAATAAATATAGTTAAGATGTCATTACTACCTAAAGCACTCTACACATTCAATGCAATTCCCATCAAAATTGCACCAGCATACTTCTCAAAACTAGAACAAACTATCCAAAAATTTGTATGGAACCACAAAAGACCCCGAATAGCCAAAGTAATACTGAAAAATAAAACCAAAACGGGAGGTATCACCATCCCAGACTTCAGCCTCTACTACAAAGCTGTCATCCTCAAGACAGTATGGTATTGGCACAAAAACAGAC